GGCCTTTCTCTCATTAATCAGTAGTGTTACTGAAGAGCATTGAGAAACTTCTGTGTTGTTTTTACAGCTCTGATTAAATCAGACCTCAAAAGACACGGCGTCAACGTGAGCAACATAAACAAAGGACAAGCAGTAAGTTAATCTGATTTTAATTTCCAGTGTTGCCTCTCATCACTTTTGTGAACTAAACATGCCAAACACCAAGAGGCTCAACCGTGCTAATCTTGATAATATGAAGTGGAAGATATCTCAGTACATTTATAATCAGTTAAGAGAAAGATCAAAGTCAAAAAGGACAAAAGCCATGCTGTGTGTCTGAGAAAACTGGCCAAACTAATCTATTAAAAATGTAATAGAACATTGCTACAGGGAAAACAGGCATTTTGCCTAGCAATAATAGAGTAAAATGTAATGTTAACGAACTGGATTCCTTTATATATATATATATATATATATATACAGGTGCATCTCAATAAAAAGAACCAAAGACTTAAACTACTTCAGTCTGTGTGCATTGAATTTATTTAATACACGAGTTTCACAATTTGAGTTGAATTACTGAAATAAATGAACTTTTCCATGACATTCTAATTTATTGAGATGCACCTGTATATATACACACACACATTTTAAAATTTTTTTTTTTTTTTTTAGAAAACAATTGTAATATAAAACCACACACATCATATTTTATGGTCAATGCACACTACCATTCAAAAGTTTGGTTTCAGTATGATTTCTTTAAAGAAATTAATGTTTATTCCGCAACTTTTATTCAGGCATTTATAATGTTACAAACATTTCCATTTCAAATAAATGCTGTGCTTTTAAACTTTCTATTCATCAAAGAATCTTGGAAAAATTAATTGTGGTTTTCACAAAAATGTTATGCAGCACAACTGTTTCAACACTGATAATAAAAACAAATGTTTTACCAATTCAGCTTATTAGAATCATTTCTGAAGGATGAGACTGGAGTAATGGCTGCTTAAAATTCAACTTTGTCATCACAGGAATAAATTATATTTAAAAATATATTACTATAGAAAACAGTTGTTTTAAATTGTATTAATATTTCACAAGATTATACATTTTACAGTAGTTTGATCAAATACATGCAGCCTTGGTGAGCATAGGAGATTTCTTTCAAAAACATGAATAAATCTCACCGACCCCAAACCTTTAAACGGTAGTGTATTATTTGGCCTTCAGTAGCCTGATGTTCAAGATCATCGTTTTTGTCAATTAATTGCCATCTTTAGGGAAATGAAAAAGAGTTGCAGATCTTAATTGAACACATATTTGTCTCTCCTGAAGGTTCCCACTGAGCTGCCTTCTGAAAAAGCGTCCAGTGACGTCAAGCTGGAGTCTTCTAGCTTACCTCATGAGACTTCAATTTAAGTCTTAAACATCTCCAACAGCACATCAGACATCACAACCGATCACAGACTCTCCTGAGATGACTTGAAATCTCCTTATTTTGCTGTAATGTTGATGTTATAAAGAACTTTCATTGAAAACGGACAGTGATAATTGTTCACAAATATGCTGTGAATTCATTTCTCCAAATCTAGGCTGAAATGTGTACATACAATCGGTCTCAAAATTATACATGCATGATGATACTTTCTACTTTATTTCAAGAATCGTGGACCAAATATTAGGTATTTAACAGGGCTTGTAATGGCCATATGCACAATCCTGTTAGTGTGTCTGGAGCAGCATGTTTGTTTGCTTCGTCTCAAAGGACCTTTCTGATTGTGTGCTACTGTGAAGCAATGTTGTTTATTTCTCACATCTGCTGTTGCATTGCAGGACATCAACATGTAATAGTTCCACAAAGGCCATAAATTCCCATTTTATTTATTGAGGATGACGAAGATTGCCCATGCGTTAAATGAAGAGTGTTCTATAAACCGAAAAGGCTTATTATGTCAACTGTAGTGCATGGGTAAACATAAGTGAGTGCTATTCCCTTACCATGATGAGACTGACGTCATTTCAAGTGCTTACACAGTCATTGCAAGATAAAATCAAATGTCGTGTAGTGCTTTTTTGACCTGAAAAACATACTTGTTTAGACTTTTCTGGAGAGCACAACTCAATCTGACAGCATTTGTATCGCATTAAAGGAATGCGATCCATTTACAAGAGTGTGTCGCTGACGGGCCTAGTGAGGTTTTATGAAAATGTCATACCTCAGATGTGTGGTAGAAAGAAGCACTGTTATTTTATAAGCCTAGGTTTGCCTTTTATGAACTAATTTTTGTATTTTAGATGCATATTTATTGGAAAGATTGCTTTTTAAGAATTTTTATTGTATTTATTAATTTTTGTTTCAATTTCTACTGTTTCTACTTAGTAATATACTTGTCGGTTAATGAAGGCAGCTGTGTAAACTTGGGTTTCATTGTCACAAATGATGCTGGGAAATTCACTGTAGAGTAAAACTCTGTGCAAGAACTCATTAGCATTACACTCTGAACACTGGAGGTGTAGAAGTGTCTCATGTTTCCATCATTGCTGTTGTAAAATAATAAAAAGAATATTGCTAAAATTCAATTATGCAGTTTGTTGATTAAAAAAAAAAAAATACTGAACCAATAAAATGTTAAATAATACAGATGGAAATATATTGCAAATATTTGTAATATACAAGGGTTTTCATGTGATCATTATTATCATTCTCATGTGACATACCCCCATCCTAACATTTACAATGCCATCTATGGAGTTTCTTATAGAGACCCAATTCATACAGTGAGAAATTAACATCATGAATGTATAAAATATTATTATAAAACCGATAGTTCCGGTCCTTGATTCTTATTGGCTGAGCCACATTCGAAGCTGTTGTAAATTACTCCTTTGTTTACGTTTGTGTGTTGCTTGGCAACCACTTTGTTGCAACCACAACTGTCTGATTCTGAGGAACTACATTGATTGGTGGAAGAATAATGTTTTTATTAAAGGGTTAGTTCACCCAAAAATGAAAATTAGCTTGTGTTTTACTCACCCTCGAGGCATCCTAGGTGTATATGACGTTCTTCTTTCAGACGAATCCAGTCGGAGTTATATTAAAAATCGTCCTGGCTGTTCCAAGCTCTATCATTGCAGTCAGCGGGTGTTGCAGTTGAACAGTCCACAAGTCCTCAAATAAAGTGCACGCATTCATAAAACGTGCCTCACACGGCTCCGGGGGTGAATAAAGGCCTCCTGTAGCGAATCCATGTGAATTTATAACAGCTAAGGGGGTTTTAGGCACTCCGTTTCGCTTGGTGCCTAACAATGCCCCTTAGCTGTTATAAATTCACTATAAACCACGCTTCTTGGGGCTTATTGCTTTATTCTAACAATTCATGGATTCTATTACGTTTTTTTCTTCCCATGTTTTTTCTACTCATTATAGTAGTGCAAGTTAAGATTTATTATTTATTAATTTTGATATTTACACTGTTTTTCTCTAAACATTCTCAAAGGCCCACTACCACTCTATTGGAGCCAGTTGAAAACATCTAAATATTTAATAAGATTTCTTGAAAGAAGTTTTAGAAAGTAAATAAATCTGTATTCAATTATTATGATGAAGTCGAACATAAAATTTGTGATTAGTAGGCCTATAAAGTTTACAGGAAAAGCAGGCTGAATGAAATGCAAACCTCTAGAAGGGTTGGAGCGGGTTTACAGTTAGAACTCTAGCGCCCTCTAGTGATCATACAGGACAGCTATAATTTATCACTTCGCTTTAGATGTGTTTTATCGAAACAGCTCTTGTTTGGGTCTTTTGAACTTCACATTAAAGGGAGAGCAGAAGCTAAAAGCATTCTAAAATGATTGGGTGAGGAATATCTTCTGCACAATCTCTCATTTCAGACACCTAGAGGAGATAAAAATTACAGCCAGGATTTAGAAACATATAATGTACTAGGCTATATTTAATGTTTATAAATATTTATAATATTTTATAAATAAAATCAAAAATAATCACAGCTGATGAATTTAGCACATATATATATATATATATATATATATATCCTGTATGGTTCAAGTCTCGAAGTCTCTGCTAATGAGCTGATGAGTGGGTTCAGGTGTGCTCTATAGAGGAAACATCCAAAATATGCAGCACTGGTAGATGATTAATTCTGCTCATATACATTCTGCTGGAGATGGGAGATATCTGAAAGATGCTTCTGTGTCTGAACAGGAGGTTGTTACATACCACCACTACTCATATGAGGGCAACAGGAATAAAATATTGAATGAAATTTTCTTATGGAATTGTAATTAAATATAAGCTAATTCCATCCCATCCATATGTTTTAGACACTATTTGTATTTCTTCTTTTTTGGTAGAACCACACTCTGAGTTAGGGTTAATATAGTTAATTAAAACCTTAAAAATGCATTTCTGTCACTTGAAATAAAATAAAAATAAATAAATAAATATATAAAAACGTTTTTATTTAAGCTAGTTTTCAAGGAAACATTTTTCATTTTCATTCAGTATAACTTAATATCCTAAAATAACTAAACATTGCAATACAAATGACTTAAAACGATATAGACACATTCAAAAACTAATTAATACTAAAGCTTTAACTAAAATGTAAAAAATAAATAAAAACTAATTCAAAATATGAATAAAAACCATAACAGTATCTCAATGATACTAAAATAACACTCCTATGAGTTTTACTTTCATGCGTTTTGAGGCCATTTTGAACAAAAAGAATGAAAAGGTGCAATAATTATTTTACTTATTAGAAAACTATATGGTCTTGATTTGACACACTTAAAGTGATTTGACATCTTTAAATGCACATTTTAAAAGCTCACAAAAAAAAACCCTGCTGGATACACAACGAACGTTCACGCCCATTTCCGCCATTTTGACCAATCACAGGCGGATCTATTGCCCTTATATGGAATTGAACCCGCCTCGCTTTGTTGCTTCGTCCAATGAAAAGCTGGGAGAGCGTGGTTGGCTGTAGTTTATGGTGATACAATAACAGTATCAAAAAACGTTAGAGTGAATGACCATTTGAGACCGTCAGTGAAAGCGGTTACACGCCTACTCGGAAAAGCAGATCATTCATTAATACTCTACAGTCAGGTGTTAAATGATTCTACCGTAGATTATTTAGCCCGCAATCCCTCCGCAGTATTCAGACGCCTCCTCAGTGTTTTTAGCGAAAGATGAAGTAGTTTCTGTGGCACAACTACAGAATGCGGTTTACTGGGAACATATATGACCATTTCTGAGCTGAAGCACACTCAGCCATAGTTTGCTACAGAAATGGTATCGCTGAGCATTTTCCTGCCTCTGAATCTTTTTCAAATCACCTGATTTTCTTACACTTGAGCAGGACCGAGTGGTTTTGGCACATTAGTATGCATGTTCGAGGCGCGACATGTCTTTGTGCATGAATGCTGGGCAGTCATAACTGATCTGTGGAAAAACAAGGGGAAACTCCCCCTCGGAAGACTTCTGAACAATGACCGGACCAAGCGCCACCAGCAGCGGCTCAACGGCCAAGACCAGCAGACACGGTCGGTCCAAGAGCACCAGTACCTACTGTCACACTACCGGTCTGGCGGCTGAATCCACCTCATCCACTGCCGCAAACAACACCGGCAGGTCTTCCGGCGAGGAAGAGGAGAAAGACGGCGAGGTCCCGTTTTTCGTGAACAGGACGGGCTTTCCCATAGACACTGTCACCTGGGAGAGAATGTGGTCACACGTCACCAAAGTTCATCCTGATGGACAGGAGATGGTGGATAGAATACGAAATGCAACACACCTCTCTAAAGTAAGTGGAAAGTAATAGATTATTTATGTAGACTCATTTAAATATCTCAAAACTCAAAGTCCAGTGAGCTGCCTGTTTAGACAACATTTTTTGGCGTCATATAGATGTGATGATATGTCTTGAAATATTTGAGACCCCAAAATGTTATCTTGTTAGGAAGCTCATGATGCCTATGTGATACGATACACAAAATGTTGATAGGCAGTTTAACGCTAGTTATATAATAATCCCCCAAATGCTGGTACCCTAAAAATGCTTAAATGTCTAGGCAGGCAACGTATTTATAAAATGCCCAAAAAGCTTTCTTGTTTGACAAGTTACTAGGTTTTAAGTGACAGCCACTGAATGTGTGTTTGTACAGATGTCAGTTGATAATGGATATAAAAATGCAGAATGGTCATATGGTATTATCATGTTTCTGGTCATCTTTTAAGTCCAGTAGTTTATAAATATAATACTTTTTTTTCCCTTGGTATATATATGAAGTTTTTTTTTATAGGTAATGCCATCTGATACATCACTGTTTTTTTTTTGTCAAAATAATGTTTGACATAGTACTATCTAAAAGTTTGGGGTCATTTTTTTTTAAAGGGGTCATATGATGCGATTTCAAGTTTTCCTTCTGTTGCCCTTTCGGGCTTGAACTGATGGTAAAACTAATGACATTATTAACTGTCTTGATAATTACTTTGAAAGCTGACGCTCGCGATTATGGTAAGGGATGTTACATTTCCGATGCGTGCTTGTGGTGTTCGGGCAATCACAATGCACTGGGTCAGCTGGCCAATCAGAGCAGACTGCGCTTGTCAAAGGAGGGGGCTTTGTTGAAAACGACGTGTTTGAGAGAGGCGGGGCATAGAGGACCTACAATAATGTACAGTATTTGAAAAATAATGTGTTTTTTGAACATTAAAGCATGTCAACATATTCTGTTACACCAAATAAACAAAATAATGATCTTTAAAATAGCATCATATGACCCCATTTAAAGAAATTAACACTTTTATTCAGCAAGAATGTGTTTAATTGATTGTAAGTGACAGTAATGGCATTTATAATGTTGCAAAAGATTTTTATTTCAAATAAATGCTGTTCTTTTGGATTTTTCTATTCATGAAATAATCCTGAAATGTTTTTTTCACAGTTTCGCACAACTATTTTCAACATTGATAATAATAATAACAATAAATGTTTCTTGAGCAGCAAATAAGCATATTAGAATGCTTTCTGAAGGATCATGTGACACTGAAGACTGGTGTAATGGCTGCTAAATATTGAGCTTTGCAATCACAGTAATAAATCACATTTTAAAATATTCTAAAATAGAAAATGTATATTTTAAATTGTAATAATAGTTTAAAATATTATTATTATTATTATTTTTTTTTTTTACCATATTTTGATCAAATAAATGCAGCCTTAGTGAGCATAACATATTTCTTTCAAAAACACACACAAAAAACTTTTGAACCTCAAAATTGGCCTATATATGAAACAGGACACATTCACAGGAATAGTGTTTATATATAAATAGCATCTCACAAACTGCCATTTGTGTGACCCAGTTTCCACCAAGAGGAAGTGTAGACTGTGTGACATGTGAGTGGATTTACTCATCCATGTGTTTTCCAACAGTCACATTGTCCCTTCTCATAATTTGATTACAAACCAGGCAAATGAGAGATCTGATCCAACCAATGACAACTATGCAGAAACATGCCTTTGTTAATGCACATTAAATGAGGAATGATGCCATGTGACATCTTTCACTAGGATTAAGGTTGCTGCCATGTCCCTTTATCACAATGTTGCTCTAACCTCCAAACATAAACCAATCAGACCTGATCAGGCAGAGAGCATGCAAATGAAGGGCCTCGGAGGGGATAAAGTGAGTCTTAATCACAGACTAAGTAATCCTCAGTGCACAGACGGACAGCATACGCAAGGTCAAGCTGTGTGTTTATATTAGCTCTTTTGTTTTAGTTAACACTATTGTGCATTCCTGCACACTCATATGTGCTGACGTTTGCAGAACAACGGCGTCTGACTGGTCGAAAGTGTTGAGTCAGATCCCTAGATGTTAAAGTGATTTATTAAGGGACATTCCCCACCAGCAAGTGTTGAACAGGTGTGTGGAGTGAATCCATCAGATCAGCCAGATTAGGAGTCACTCGAACGGCTGTGACACAAGCCAGACATTCCTGTTAGAGCCATTAGACAGAGAGTGACAGTCAATGAGAAAGAACTTACTGTGAACCTGTAAATGACCACACTGATGGAGAATCAGAGTCTCCAGTGATAACCTTGGATCTGAGGACACTGCAGTTATTATGTAAACAAACCACATACCAGTACAGCGCTTTCCATTTGGTGCAGTTAGACAATATTCGAAAGCTAAATAGAGTATTAATTATTATTTATAGCACAGTTGCACTTGCTATTTTACGTTTGGTTTTTGATATAATCCATTTGCTAGAGTGCTATTAGGGATAATCTGTGTAATTCCTGTTGTTTTGTATTGAAGAAAATAATGTATCGCATCTTCCACAGAAATATTAAGCATGCAGCACAACTGTTTTCAACACTGATAATGTTTCTTAAGCACCAAGTCAGCATAAGAAAATAATTTCTGAGAGACTATGTGATGCTGAAAATCAAGCTTTGCGATCACAGGAATATATTAAATTCTAAAAGATATTAAAAAACAGTTATTGTAAATTGTAATAATATTTTACAGTGTTACTGTTTTTGCTGCATTTTTGATCAATCAGTTGCATTCTTGGTGAGCATATGAAGCTTCTTTCAAAAACAATAAAGGGGATAGTTTATACAAAAATGACAATTCTGACATTATTTCTCACCCTCGTGTCGTTCCAAACTCTTAAGACCTTTGTTCATCTTCAAAACACTAACTAGGATATTTTTGTTGAAATCCGAGAGCTTTCTGACCCTGCATAGACAGCAATGCAACTACCATGTTAAAGGCCCAGAAAGGAAGTAAGTACACATCGTTAAAATAGTCCATGTGACAACAGTAGTTCAACTGTAATTTTATGAAGCTACAAGAATATTTTTTGTGTACAAAGAAAACAAAAGACTTTATTCAACAATTTCTTCTCTTCCGAGAGAAGAAATTGTTGTAAATTTGTAAGTTGTAAATTGTAGTGTATGCATGCAGAAATGTTGCCAATGTTTTGGTAATGATCTTTTGGCTTTAGTATTTGGATATAACCCATTTGCTAGAGCATTTGCATTTGCTCCATTTTTGAGTGTTATTAGGGATAATCTGCATAATTCCTGTTGCTTTGTCTAGTATTTGGGCCTTTATCAAATTGTTTTTGGGTCAATCCTTCACATCTCAACCAGACGTCCACAGCTAAAAATTTGGATTTTGATAATTTTATTTATGGTGAAGTAAATACATAAGTGAAGAATAAAGCCAAAATATTAAGTGTTATAATACGTACTAATCCACTATTTTTAAGGCCCTGTATGATTTGGTCAAAAAACATATGTGGGTCACTTTGCATACAGCTGATACATCTTTTAAAGAGGAATGTCTGAAGAACAAATAATGTTGAAACTAGAAATGCATCATGTGTACCTCTATCAACACACCAGTCTGAGTACCAAAAATATTATTTTTCCAAAGTTTGCGTGACTGTAACTCAGAACGGCCAGTTCGTTTTCTGCAATGACTTTGATCCTGTAACAACTGAAAAGTCTGCATCTCTTAGATGGACAAATGTTCTGGGTGGCTTGTATCGTCACCTAGAGTAGTGAGTCTCATGTTTCGCTACAGTCCCCCGGATGGGCAGAGGTCAGCTAATGGCCCTGTGAGTGTGGATTGTGGCCTATTTATTGCTGACCTCCTTTAAGGTTTTGAGAGACCCAGTTGAGCCAGTGGAGTAGAGCGTAGATGTAAATGAAACCTCTCTCAGAGAATTCAGACTGTCAGAATCAATATTCAGAGTGTCATTTTGTATTCCGATACATTTTTGGAAATCAATTCTGAATTGAAAGCCTTGAAGGGTTAGTTCACCCAAAAATGAAAATTAGCCCATAAATTACTCACCCTCAAGTCATCCTAGGTGTATATGACTTTCTTCTTTCAGACGAATCCAGTCGGAGTTATATTAAAAATTGATGTCAGAGGATTTCGATATAAGCCAAGAGGAGACGGGTTTTCCTTTGCTAAAGTAAGGAAACTTTGCTTCCTTTGCTCCTGTTAACAAACGTTGGTTTTCACGAGACTCACTGGCGCATGGGCAGCGTTGACCTCATAGGTCATTCCCCCGGAACTGCTTCCAGTGTACAACAGTGAGCGCAAGCTACATTAAAGCGATTATTACGTTTTGAATATGGATATTTTTCTTACAAAAACGCATCGATTCGCTACAGGAGGCCTTTGTTCACCCCCCGGAGCCGTGTGAGACACTTTTTTTTTTTTATGGATGGGCGCATTTTAATTAAGTGCTTTTGGACTGATGCATGCAACACCTGCTGAGTGCCATGAAACAGCTTGAAAGATCAAAGACAATTTTTAATATAACTCCGAATGGATTCGTCTGAAAGAAGAAAGTCATATACACCTAGGATGACTTGAGGGTGAGTAATTTATGGGCTCATTTCAAGCAGTGGTTCTCAACTGCTGGGTTTATGTTATGGACGGGATATGATAATAAAAAAGTTACCGCTGAAAACGTTAGAAAGCAGTCTCTTATGTTCACCAAGGCTGCATTTCTTTAATCAAAAATATAGTAAAAACAGTATATTACTGGTGTTTTGTTTACTTTTATACGATAAAAATGTTGGTGCTATGTTGGGTTGCCAGTTAAGAAACACTGGGTTCCATTCCATCAACACCATTTTAATGAGGCTTTAAGTTCTTGTGACATTTGTCACACCTCAGTTTTCTAAACGCCTCTATTTAAGTGCTGAGAAAGAAGGCGTGTGTTTGCACCTCTGTCTTTCAAAAGTTATTCTACTCCGAACAACAGCATTGTTATTCTGCCATCATAACACTGGCACAGAATTTAGACATATTGTACAATGCATTTCTGTGCTTCTTTATCATGCATTCAAAGGCTCCAGAAGTCAGCACAGACAGACAAAACTGTCCTACCCTGACTTTCTAAATTCTCTCATTCTCTTGCACTGGGCAGAGAGAGATAAAGAGGAAATGAGATGATTTCCTTTCTCCCTTTCTTATTTCCTTCTGTGACCCAGCAGCTCTTGCATGCCACCAACACACATGGTGCTCGTATTGAAAATAAAACCCAATGCATAATTCTGCCTGCATTTATCTGACAAACTTTGGTTTAATGCTGTTAATGTGTTGTAATAAAGAGATTGTTTCAGATAGAGGACAGCCTATTTTCTTGCTTTCATTAATTGCTTCTTTTCTTCTAATGAATGGAGGCTTGTGTGCAAGAGGACGACCTTTGTTCATTGCTAATTCTCTTCGCTGTCCTTTTGCAGTTAGGAGTGTCATTGCTTGTAGGGGTTTCAAATGATCAATGAGGCACTGTTTCTATAGATTATAAGGACTTTTCATTCCATTGAGACATCAGAATCTGATTGACGAATCTCCTTGTGGTTACAAAAGTCCCGTTGTGACTAGGTTGCCAACTTCAGGATAAAAATAAGTGACAACCTCCCTTTCTTTATACTACATTTCATTTAAGATTTAAAAGGATAGTTCAGCCTAAAATGAAAATAATATCATGATTTACTCACCCTCAAGTCGCTCCAGAATTGTTTGATTGTCTTTTTACCTGCAGAAAATATTTCGAAGAATGTTTCAACTGTTTTTGTTCATATACAATGAAAGTCAGTGGTGTCCAGAACAACACTAGACCCCACTGACTTTCATTATATGGACAAAAACACTGAGACATGAACAAATGAAATGCTACATGATCACAGTGTATGCCTGCAGCAGCAATATGTACTTCTTAGTATCTGTAACATCTAGTTATGTCATGCTGAAGTACCACGCATTATTACACACATCAATTTAGTTTAGTTTAGCCAAGGCAGATTCTAACATTGGAGAATTATGAGTGTACATAAATAATTCAAGATGACTCAACTTGATGTTTTTAATATGGCAACAAATCCAGTGGAAATCTGAACCACTGAAACCCAGCAAATAAAAGTTAGCTAGCAGTATAACATCTATGACGCGATACTAGAATAAAGATATAGGGCCCATGCACAAACAAATATTGGACAAACCTGAATTTAGTCTTCAGTGTCACATGATCTTTCAGAAATCATTCTAATATGCTGATTTGGTAAACAAGAAACATTTCTTATATTTATCAATGTCAAAAACAGTTGTGTTGCTTAATATTTTTGTAGAAGCCATGCTACATTTTTGCAGGATTCTTTGAATATAATGTTCAAAAGAGCAGCATTTGTTTGAGATAGAAATCCTTTGTGACATAATAAATGTCTTTACTTAAAATCAATTTAATGCGTCTTGCTGAATGAAAGTTGAAGGATATTGTTTGCTAATTCTCTCTGTTTTCACAGCACCCCGTGCCATCGGTTCCAAACTTTAAGCCATCGATGTCTGTGCCTGATTGGCTCCATGCCGTCCAGAACTACATGAGAAACTTGCAGTATCCTTTCCCCTCCACAAACCGTTCGCTCTGGAAAAGGTTGACAGATGTTTTCTAAACCTGTTTCTTCTGGATGCATTATGGATTCATGGGCACTCATTTCTTTGGAGTGTCAGTTATGCTTTTTCGCTCAGTGTAATTTTTTCAGTCGGCTTGACTTACTCAAAGGGCCTTTTTGGTTGGAGTGTCAGTCACTTTAATGTAGAGTGATATTAGCCATGGGTATGCATACTTCTGGTACTCCGATTATTACAGTTTTCTGCCTCATGCTTTAAAGACTGCCAGTGAAAATGTGTGGCTTTGATATAGATTAAAGGAATAGTTTGCCCAAATATGAACATTTGCTGAAAGTGTATACACCCTCAGTCTATCCAAGGTGTAGTTAAGTTTGTTTCTTCATCTGAACAGATTTTGAGAAATTTAGATTAAAACTTACATTACTTGCTCACCAATGAATGCTCTAAAGTGAATGGGTGCCGTCAGAATGAGAGTTCGACAGCTGATAAAAACATAACAATAATCCACATGACTCCAGTCCATCAATTAACGTCTTGTAAAGTGAAAAGTTGCGTGTTTGCATTAAACAATCCATCAAGACATTTTAAATTCAAATCATTGCTGCTAATATATGAGTCATCTATCCATAATATTGTTTTTTCCAGTAAAAAAGTTGCCTTGTCTGAATCCGAAGCAAAATCATATACAAGCGAAAACAGATTTAATGTTGTTGTTGACGTGAGAGGACAACAGGGGATGGACTTTTTCACTAGAGGAAGCATTATTTTGGTTTATGGACTTTTATGACTGGCAGCCACGGTTTAAAGTTAAAATGCCTTAATTATGGATTTGTTTTATACAAACACATGGCTTTTCACTTCACAAGTTGTTAATTAATGGACTGCAGTCACGTGGATTACTTGTGGACTATTGTGATGTTTGAACTCCCATTCTGATGGCACCCATTCATTGCAGAGGATCCATTGGTGAGCAAGTGATGTAATGCTGAATTTCTCCAAATTTGTTTGATGAAGAAACAAACTCATCTACATTTAGGATGGCCTGAGGGTGTGTACATTTTTTAGCAAATTGTCATTTTTGGCTGAACTATTCCTTTAAGTTGGATATTGCATTGTCTATACTATTTGATGGTTAGATGATTTCAGCTTCTGTGGATATTTATATTCATCATTGTGTGCGATTAATATCTCAGCATCTCAGCAATTTTCTCACACAAATACAGTAATGTCTGTGAAGAGTAATGAGTACATAGGGTTCAGCAGGATATTGTTCGCAGCTGTGCACTTTGACACGCATGAGTCACAATGAAAAAACAGGAAAACAAGGCTTCCTAAATGAGCCGTACAAACTTCACGTAGCTCCTTAACTGCTGACAGATACAACCATACGGGAACGCAGTTCTTTGAGATTAAGAAAACCAGACCTCTGAGTGGGTAAGTGATGCCATCGCTGAGGCATTTTCATCATCCTGTCTGTCTGCCCTGTCTTTCCTGTTTTTAGTCTTCTCTTTTTCCTGTTCCTTCTTATTTTACACTTACACTCTTGGTGGTAAATCTCTTTTAAAAAGATGTTTTTCAGGTGTGATATTCATTTAAAAAAGTGCCCTTTTACAAAATACAGAGCTTATAACCAAACATGAAAGGTTCATTTTAGATTGAAAAGAAGTCATTGACCCTGTATAGCATCAATCTAATCTCTTTCCAGGTTGATGGAGACTGCCAGAGAGATGATACGAGAATCACTTCCCATCAAATGCCTTGAAGCAGTTATCCTTGGAATGTATCCTTTAGCTTTATTGACAACTGTGCAACTTTAGCAAAACTAAAACTATTAGAAATTATTTTTATTAATTGAAAAAATAAAATAAAATATAAATATTATATGAGAAACTTTTGAGATAAGTTTAAGTGCCAAAATAAAAAACTAAATACTACAATACTAAAAATAAAATAAACCAAAATACTAAAACTAAACTAAAATAATGATAGAAACATTAAAAAAACGAATAAAAATAAATAAATAAGTACTATAATTATGTATAGAAATAATACTAAAATAAAATATTAATATTATATGAAAAACTTAAATTAAAAAAAATAAATATTTGAAATAAGTTGAAGTTGAAGTACCAACATAACTAAAACTAATACTGAAAAGAAAATAAATTAAAAATAAATAGAAATATTATGAGTAATTGCTAAAAAAAAAAGATAAATGCTCAAATTGTGTACATAAATAATATTAAAATAACACTGATTGATCAAGTGCATTCTCTTAATTCACCAAGGAATTAAGAAAAAAATTAAGGTTTTAAGAAAAATTGAGAATTTTTTTTTTTAAATTAAACATTCATGGATAAATAATTTACAATAACATACATTAGAAAAAAGATAGATGTGGGTAGCACTCACACTTTCTTCTGAAAATGTAGAAATCTAGTGTTGTTTTTTGTAGGCTTGAACATCCTTCAGTCCCTAAAGTATAAATCCGTTCTCATAAAAGTAATTATCACCGAGCACATACAGCACAGTTCATTTGTCTTGGGAAAGCCCCATACTTTTATTTTTATTGTTGATTTCTCAATTGCTGAAATTGGGATAGAGGGACTAAGCAGAGATCTATCAAAGGCAATGTGCTTCAGATCACTGTCTTCGCTCATGATCCGCCTCAGCCCGAACTGAAGCTTTTACGTAGCTGTTGCTAGGAAACTAGGAGTCATAGTAGATTCTCCTGAAGGGAGGCGCAGCTTCCTGTCCATGCAGTCGATGCAGCTGTGCCATTCTATGCCACTGGGAGGGTGAGTTCTTTCAGGAATTATTAGTGTCAGTTAGCTCATCAGATCCAGGCCAAGGGTTAACACAAGGTGAATGTCATCTCCGTCCATGCAAATGCCAAGTGTAGCAGAGAAATGTTGTGGAGATCTGCTTTGCAGATTGCGGTGTGTTTCGCGAAAGCCGCAGTGTGAACTTCACTTTGAGTTAAGCACCTCATGGGTCGTTAGTTGCACATCTGCGTGCAAATTTGTAGTGGAGAGCGGGAGGATGAAGGGTTCCAGTTTACGTCACTTTGAGATTTGTATCTTTGTGTACAAATCCTGTCTTTTAATCTACAGCGCTCTCAAGGGACTTTCCTACAGTCCCAGAGGACTCAAACATCATAACAGTGAGTATTGAGAGTATCAGAGAACACTGAGGCTATTGTTGTTGTAAAGTAAAATTTGCTGTAAGCCATTTTCTGTTGTTTTGGAAAATAGGAAAATGTTCCTACTGGACAAGTATATATGTGGAAAAACAATCATTTTCAACCCTCATTCTGACCCTCTGTCTGAAGTGATCAATTTTTAGTCATATGCAAATGCATCTGCCCTTGTAATGTCACAAATCCCACAATATCCAAATGAGCCATTTCTAGAGCTTGAATAAATAAATGTAATGACCCCTTTAATAATCATTTTAAATGTTAAAGAATGGCAGAATCCACACCACAAGTTGCTGTCAACAACGTTGTTGTTGAAATCACTTTCAAAACTTTTTTTTTTCAGATGATGAATGATAAAAACATCGACAGCCAATTAGAATCCATCCTGCTTTTAAAGAGGTTGAGCATTTAAAGTGGCAGATGACAAAACTGCAGCACATGCTTATAATAAACCAAACTTTATCACACGTTGCTGTGGATGGTAATATGGTTATCGTTATTGTTATCTTTATAGTTGTTGTTGTAAACTTGCCTTTACACAATTGACCTATTGGTAAGCCCCACTCCCCTTAGTTACTGTTGCTCACTCGGACAAACAAACGGAGTGGCTAACTGTCTTGAACTTGTCCCAAGATGTTTTTGATAGATTTTGGACACAGAAGGACCATTATTCAAGTGGGATAGAGGGATAGATGAAAGATTTTAAAATAAATATGTAAAAATACAGATCACAATGCAAACAGGAGAAGCCTCATGTTACGGTCATCACAATTGCAATGACAACATCCCGGATCAACACTGTTCATGTACCGCAGTGTAAGATTAAATTATTTTACATTTAACCAGTTTAATATAGAGAGGCACTGAAATGTAGACCTTTGTTTATGTGCTTTTGACCTACACTGTACATAACGTGAGAACAGTTCGCTCTTTAGGTTTGTACGTTAGCATGGACTCACTAACTTTAACGTTAGCTAGTTTTAGCCGGAGATACCTCGCTGAAGCACAAGATGACATTAACGTTCTGCTTGAGTAGATGAAAATTGCAACTTAATGAGAGTATGACAACCAGAAAATGAAAGTTTTCGTCTTCATTGAGATTGGGGTTGAATGCTTAGGGAAATTTTGCTTTGTTTTGTTTGGGTTTAGGAAATTTCATTTCTGACACTCAACTGCCATTGGCTCATCTGCGTTTGAGGGGAGGGGCTTACTGCCCCCCTTCGTTACTGTTGCTATGTCTGACAAGCCATGCCACTCTCGTGCCACACATCATGTTTTCACACCGTGAAAAATACAATGAAAAAAATCGCAGAGCAAAGAGGACACTGACAACATGCTGCCAGACAAAACAGAGCAGGTTACATTCGGAAAGACATAATTGCACACTATTTTTCAAGTTAAAGTCCACCAATGTTAATCTACTCTCTTGTCTAGTTTGTTTTTCTGACAAAATGGCAGATTCAACATTATAATTGGTCAGATCGCCTGTCAATCAAACTCCCGGTGAAGGGTCAATTAGAACATTCTGAGAGGAGGCTCTCAACCAATGGCGTGAGCTTGAGGGTGGGGGGCTACCTAGTGAAATTCCATTTGGTGTTGGTAGTAGCGCAGAAACCATTTACAACAACTTTAAAAATATTTCAATTGGGTCTGAACATCAAAAAGAAGATATCCTGATAATTTTCTCAACTGTAGATGTCCATGATGCATTTACCAAAAAAAAAGATGTAAAACTAGTTTTAGCTTTTATGTATTTTTTTGGCTTATGTGAGCGGGCAGTATTCTTTTCGACTCTTAAATATGCAAGGTCAGCATTTTTGAGCTATTATATCACAAGGACAACCCAAAGAGAAGTGTTTGGTCTTCTCTCTTCTTCATGCAAAATTTTGGGTAGAAATAAAGTCATCAAAAGACTGTCTGCATATTCAAATGAAGACAAAATGAACTAAATGAAAACACAGTGTGCTTGGAACCTATAGCAGAAGTAATCCCCCAGGTTTGGGAATGCGTGTATTGCAGATAAGAATTCTCGGCACTGCTGCTGAGAGGATCACATGGCCCTGCTGATGGGTAATGTGATCCTCTGGTGTCTTCTCATTACAACACTGGTGGGGGGTTTTGTGGGTGTGTGTATGTGTATACACAGAGAGAGTGTATACACATACTCTAGGTTAGCACTGCTCAGCTAACCTAGAGTTTCTCACGGTTAAGTGTAGACCTTTTTATCTGCCACGGGAGTTCACTTCCACCATTATAACTGCAGCCTATATTCCACCGGATGCTAATGCCAAGCTTGCTATGAACGAACTGCATGCGGCCATTAGTAAACAACAGACCGCTCACCCGGAGGCTGCATTTATTGTCGCGGGTGATTTTAATCACTCCAACTTAAAGACAGTGCTCCCCAAATTTCATCAGCATGTTTCCTGCCACACTAGAGGAGACAAAACTTTGGATCATGTTTACACAAACATTGATGGAGCTTACATCGCGACCCCCCTCCCCCACCTGGGACAGTCTGATCACCTTTCTTTGTTTCTCACCCCTAAGTATTCACCCCTCATCAACCGTGTGAAGCCATCAATGAGGACCATCAAAGTGTGGCCAACAGGAGCAGACTCTTTACTTCAGGACAGGTTTCAATACACGGACTGGAGTATGTTTGCTTCTCAGGCTGCCTGTGACTCTCACACGGACATTGATATCTATACCTCCTCTGTAATGGATTACATCAATACCACCATTGACAGTGTTACAACAGAGAAACAGATCACAACATACCCTAATCAGAAGCCATGGATGAACAAGGAGGTGCGACACCTGCTGAAAGCCCGCAACGCTGCCTTCAGATCAGATGACGCTCAGGCCTACAGCAAATCCAGGGCTAACCTGAGGAGGGGCATCGAAAAGGCCAAGTACTGCTACAAGCTAAAGGTAGAGGAACAATTTTCCAATGCCACTGCTTATTGCACTTCTGGTTAGATGCTAACTGCATTTCGTTGCCTTGTACCTTACATGTGCAATGACAATAAAGTTGAATCTAATCTAATCTAGAAGGAAACTCAAAAGAGCTGCAGACGAACAAAACCTACTGAATAAGCCTGTATTTACTTCAAATAACAACAAAATTTTGTGTTCAAAATACTACAAAAGAATAATGGGACTGAGTTAATTCTCCTTTTGAAAATAATCTAAATGTAACTTATTTGCTTTCTCACTGTCTTTTGTCTTATTACGTATAATTCAGCAGTGTAAAACATTTCTTAAGTAAAATTTCCATATAAATTTCTTCCCCTACCGAAAGTTCAAAAACAGCCAAGCAAAACTGGTTAAGTCACGAATAGGCTAAACGAACGGATGGACGAGCCCCCAATTGTCATGACCCGGCCAGCCTAGGGTTGGTAAGGCCGATGACAAGAATAAAGTTAAAGAAATAATTTAGCTCCTCTCCTGTTCCAGCTCACAATGACCACAGAGGTTTATTCACAAGCGAAAGTCTGTTTATTACATCTTTAAGTTGATGTTTGGAAGCACATCTCTTCGGAAGGGGATCCAGGCCAAAATAACAAACCAAAGAGAAACTAACTAAGGGTTTAGAGAAGCCCAAATTGCCTAACAAAACAAAAATTCCCAAAAGAAATACAGAGGTCTTCCCTAACTCCCTCTCTGGCCAAAAACAGGAGAAAACGACATTCACAAAATAAATGGCAATCCCCAACCTACTGCTTCAGAAATAACAAATAGGTGTTTACAAATAACGAATACTAGCTAACAACCAAAAATAACTCTTAAGGATCGGATTACCGAGGACTCAGATAGGCTATAGCTTAGTCCTTCCAGTTCAGGAAACGGCGTTTCCGCAGCGCCACTAACCAGAATGGTTACACACACTATAACACCGTCATTTAACCACACTACACAACCAACTGTTGTCTGGAGCAGGAGACAGAGGACGGCACGGCACGGCACGGCACGACACCCGCGGCGGAGCTTCACGACACGCACACTACAGAAGCTTTCCCTCGCTGCTCTGCTTCCCAGCATTTAAACTAGTGATGTCCGGTTCGCGAACGAATTGTTCTTTTTTTCAGAAAGGTTACATACTAAATATTTTTTTTGTAATGTAAATGTATTTACTGTAACTAATGATCATTTTAATGCATCCCTGCTGATTAAATGTATTCATAAAAACAAAAAATCTTACTGACCCCAAACTTTTGAATGGTAGTGTACTTTTTTTTTTTTGAAGATTGTTGAAGACGTTCTCTGAAAAGAAGTCGTTTCTCAAGTAAATTTATCACGTTTTCAGTTATTTTAATAGAAAACAAAAGAAAAAGTTTAATTAAAGTTGTAATTTTACTTTGCATAACTGTGAAAGTGCTTCTGTCACTTACCATTTTTGTAGTTTTAATCTGGAATAGCCTAACTGTTTGTGGACCACTGGAGTTTTTGATTAATAGATGAATATGCTTGTGTTATGGAATACCAGCATATTGTACTGGTGATTGTCTTTGAAAGGCAGATGGCAAAGCAGTGAAGCCATTCCAGGACGTTGCGTTGTGTTGTTGGACACACATGGCTCAACAGATCTGTGGTATGTTGGTATGTGCTCTTGGCTGACTTGGCAGCTTGTGTGGTACCCAACAGCAAAACGGCACAGGCGCACTGTTTACTGACAAGTGTGACGATAATGATTCATTTAAAGGGTGGTTGCAAAGAATAAAGCATCTTTTCCTCATTTTAGCAACCTCAAGGCAACATGAATTCAAATTTAGCATCAGAAAGGAGAACAACAATCATGCTAATCTCTTTTTGTTTTGTTTGTACTGTAGTTCTTTAATTACATCATGGATACCCTAAAAGAAACACCACTCAGTTTACTGATGTGATTGATGGCATTAAGGTCAAATAGTAGCCTAGACTTTTTTTGTCCGTAGTTGGAGGTGGGTCCTGGTCTGAACCCTGCTGATACACTCACAGCCTGGTGACTCCTCATGGCAGCAACTGCCGCATCATGTGTGGCCATGCCGCAGTGAGCACTGATCGCTTACATAAGACTACAGAAGAGATCAGGCAGAGACAAGGAAAAGCCCAAGGGGAAGGCCAGTCTAGCCGGGTGTCTGCTGACCAACTTCAATCACATCGCTGCAACATCATGGAAAGAGAAGGTTTTTGTTCGACTTGAGATGTTTGGCTTTTTATATAAGCGTCTAAGTTTGTTTGGGTCATGTCAGTATTTTTAAACTACATTTTCTTCATTTTTTTTTTAGATTGCGTGACTTTTTAGTGTGTTATTTGGTTGTCCATTATTAGGATTATATACATTAGGATTCATTGCCTTAGTGTTAGAGTGTTAAAGGTGGTTTCTAGGGTGTTACTATGCAGCTTTAGTGTGTTATGTGGTTGCTAGGGAGTTCTTGTTGGTGCTGTTCCATGCAAAAGTTGTTGCCACATTACTAGAGTGTTATAGGTGGTTACTAGGGTGTTGCCATACAGCTTTTAAAGGGGTCATATGATGCTGCTAAAAAAACAAAGTAGTTTCGCTTTCACAACGAATCACACAGCGCCTTCACGACACGGCGGCGGCAACAACAATACTACAGCGAGAATAAAAGTTACGCCTTCTTTCTTTGCGTGAACATTTGGGAGGCGTTATGCAAATCTTCCCAGATCGTGATGTAGGTATGTGGGGGTGTGTTAGAACGAGCCGTTTAGGTAGGCGTGGTTAACTCTTAACTTTTATAAAGAATATCTCTTTGGTTTTGAGACTTTAGTGTTTGCAACTTTACAGATCTTCTTTATGCACCAAGAGCTTGTAACACTCCAAAGAGAAAGGAAAAATTTAAATCGCATCATATGACCCCTTTAAGACATTCAAAGTGGGTTTAGTGTGTTATGTGGTTGCTAGCGAGTTCTGTGTGGTTGCTAGGTCATTGCTAGAGTGTTCTTGTTGGTGGTTTTCTGTGCAAAAATTGTTGTCCACATTGCTAGAGTGTTATGGATGGTTGCTAGGGTGTTACTATGCAACTTCTTGGCCATTTGGAGTGCTTTTACTGTGTTATGTGGTTGCTAGGTCAGTGCGAAGATGTTCTTGTTGGTGCTTTTCCATGCAAAAGTTTTTTTTTCCAAATTACGAGTGTTATAGGTGGTTACTAGGGTGTTGCCATGCAGCTTCTAAGGCATTCAAATTGTGTTTAGTGCATTATGTGGTTGCTAGCGACTTCTGTGTGGGTGCTAGGTCATTGCTAGGGTGTTCTTTTTGGTACTTTTCCATGCAAAAGTTGTTGCCACATTGCTAGAGTGTTATGGATGGTTGCTAGGGTGTTACTATGCAACTTCTTGGCCATTCAGAGTGTTTTTACTGTGTTATGTGGTTGCTAGGTCAGTGCAAGGATGTTCTTGTTGGTGCTTTTCCATGCAAAAATTGTTGTTGTTGTGTGGTTGTTAGGTTATTGGAAGGGTGTTGTTATTGGTGGTATCCATGTAAAAGTTATTTCCACAATGCTTGAATGTAATGGATGGTTGCTAGGGTGTTGCTAAACAGCTTCTAAGGTGTTCAGAATGGTTTTGGTGTGTTGAGTGGTCATCAGGGAGTTCTGGATAGTTGCTAGGTCATTGCTTGGGTGATCTTGTTGGTTCTTGCCCATGCAGACATTGTTGCCACAATGCTAGAGTGTTATGCATGGTTGCTAGGGTGTTGCTATTTAGCTGCTAAGTCCTTTAGAGTGTGAGATTGCTAGGTCATTTCTATGGTGTTCTTGTTGGTGCTTTTCGATGCAAGCTTCTGAGTCCCTTTAATATTCTGATCTCAAGTTCTTCATTGGAAATCTTTGGGATTGTTTCTTATATTTCACCTGATTGCTTAGAAAACCACATAATGCGAGTTGTCATTTATTTCATTCATGTAGCACAAATTGTAAATGCTGAATTGCCAAAGTTGAGTTAAGAAGAACCACTTACTGTAGATTCAGTTATTTTAAAGAGAGTACAATTAAACAATTAAGCTTTCATTCAGAGTGTCGGTTCTGATAGTATTCTGAACAAACTCACAAATGTTAACTGTCATATATCTTAATAGAGTCTGAATTAGGGCTGCACGATAAATCGCATGCGATATTTAACACGCATCTTGTCCGAAAAGCCGGTTCTGTAATCAGGCGTAAATCTCCATCACCTGCGGGCTTTCACATTGAGCAGCATTAACTACACAGAGCCGTTGTTTACTGATGAGCTGCGCAAAAAATCGCGCGAATATGAACGTGGTTTTGCGCAGCTCGTCAGTGAACAACGGCTCTGTGTAGTTAATGCTGCTCAATGTGAAAGCCCGCAGGTGATGGAGATTTACGCTGATTACAGAACCGGCTTTCTGACAAGATGCGCATTAAATATCGCATGCGATTTATCGTGCAGCCCTAGTCTGAATTGAAAAACTGGTTGTTAAGGACAGCTTCTTATTGACCTAAAGTAAGTCATTAGCTGATCGATTTTCAGGAAGTGAGCAAAACTAAACTTACTGAAAGCTCAAAGACAGATCGGATTTGAATAAAATCAATAGTACACACCAAGTTAAAAACCTTGGGGAGGATTTGGTATTTTTCACTTTGGTATCCTCCTGAATCTTAACACTGATAAAAATCAATTTGCCATTTAATTATCACTCCATTCTTGAGCAGCTGCTATTTTTTGACTTGAAAATTATTCTGATTTCACCCAACCTGTCACGATTAAACCCATCACAAATGAACATTAGTGAAATCCTTGACTCTGTGTTGCCAGCTACCTAACCAACGGTCTGACCTCCGTGGAACGGTTCCCCATCAGCTTTAAGACCCAGTTCTCCGGCCACCACTTCCATCATGTGGTGCTGGGCGTTTACTGTAATGGCCGATATGGCACTCTGGGTATGAGTCGACGTACTGACCTTATGGACAGATCTCTGAGCTTCCGTACACTCAGCGAGTTGGTGTTCGACTTTGAGGACTCATACCGTCGCTACCAGCACACCATGAAGAAGATCAAAATCGGCCTGTACGTGCCCCACAATCCACACGTTTTCCAGCCTATTGAGTGGAACTATCTGGTGATCAATGCCTGCAAGCAGGGTCGTGAGGACATGCGCAAAGAGCTGGAGAAGCATGGCCGTGACATGAGGATGAAGGTGAGTCCATAGCCTTCTAAGATACAGTGTTATTTTTAGTATCATTTATATATGGTATTTTTTTGTTAATATTTTGAATAACATTTATTTTATTTTATATATAAAATTTAGTTATTAGTTTTTTTTTTTTTTGTTTCTATATAAAGTTTTTAGTATGGCACACCATGAAGAAGATCAAAATCGGCCTGTACGTGCCCCACAATCCACACGTTTTCCAGCCTATTGAGTGGAACTATCTGGTGATCAATGCCTGCAAGCAGGGTCGTGAGGACATGCGCAAAGAGCTGGAGAAGCATGGCCGTGACATGAGGATGAAGGTGAGTCCATAGCCTTCTAAGATACAGTGTTATTTTTAGTATCATTTATATATGGTATTTTTTTGTTAATATTTTGAATAACATTTATTTTATTTTATATATAAAATTTAGTTATTAGTTTTTTTTTTTGTTTGTTTCTATATAAAGTTTTTAGTATGGTTTAACTTTAGTTTTAGCATTATATTTATTTAGTAATTTTAGTACTTAATTTTTGTTGTGTGTGTGTATATATATATATATATATTGTGACGAGTCGGCTGCCTCCCCCTAATTATCATCATCACCCCGTCCCTTAATCGCCGCCCTTCGCCAGGCTCCCGACAGGAGTGGGTGTGTGAGAGAGGAGGGGCGCTGAAATAGCCAGGGCTGGCGGCGTGTGATGGGGCACACCTGAACCGAATGGGGCCTCATCACCGCCGCTGTTTAAATGCCGAGCACGCCTCTCCTCGGGAGACCGGTCTCTTCCCCGTGCATGCACGCTGGTGTCCTCGTGGGTCCAGGAAGGGTGCGTAGGGCCAGGATGCCGGGCCGTCCAGTCCCTTCAAGCGCCGTGGACCGAGAGAGAAGGATGAAGCTGCTGAACGAAGCCGCCGCCCCTCACGCCCCGGGACCAAGAGGGGAGCGTGTGCGGCCACTGGACTCCGCCCCTTACCTGGACCCTTCCTTCTCGAACACTGCCCCACCTTCACTAACCCCGCAGCATGATATCACAATTGTTTTGGTTTAGTGTATATATATATATATATACACACACACACACTACTAAAATTAAGTACTAAAATTACATCCAGATGTACATCCATGGTTTGTCAACCATAAAACAATTCTCATTACTGGAAGAAAAAAATAAATATGTAATTCCAGTAATGAGAATTGTTTTATGGTTAACAAACTAAAACATGACTCACTGAATCCATAATATATACATAAAATATATTGTAATATAATATTAAATTAATGTTTGATTATATAAAATGTCAAAAGATGTCATTATTATTGATTTTTTTCATAAATATATTATTGATATTTTATATTTATATTTTTGCCAAAATGACATATCTTAGGTTTTAGAATAGAGATCTAATGTCCCTCTCAAAATCTAAGCTAGTTCAGTGGGAACTAAATAAGGTCAGACTTCCCGTGGGAGGTGTTACATGGATCACACTTTTTTATACTCTGTTATTTTAAAGTAAACATTTATGTTTTCCCCTGGTTCATTTACTGAACCAGCTTCAGGAGATTCTTTATTTGTCCACGGCTGTTTATGAAGAGCTAGACCAGCATGCTAGCTTGAGATCATCTGTATGACTGTAACATGGGATGTGTTTATCATCTAGACAGTAAAAAGTAGGTCATGTGCTCCCAGTTTCTCAGATGCGGCCTTGACTTGTATGGATGACCGCAGTCAGCTGTGACATAGTTTCCACATGAGCAGACAGTGGAAACTGTGCTCTGGATGTTTAAAACTAATGTAGGCATCTTTTTATGGATGTTGAGGAATTTGGGACTCTTCTAAACAGTGCATTTGCAATTTTATTTTGAACAATTCATCCATGCGTGTTTCATTTTTTACATTGTAATTTTTTTGCTTTGTAATCAAAATGCCATAACTATAATATATTATTAATAATGTTATAAAATATATTATTTATATTTATATAAAAAGAGTGTAATTCCAGATGTTTGAATGGAAGGTGTCTTTTTATGGATGCTGAGGAATTTGGCACTCGCTTTTCAAAACCTAAATATTTTTGCAACTTGTCTTTTATGTTTAGGCTATATGAACATTTCAAAGCATGTGACAGGAATATATACTGTATGTATAATATATATGTATTATTTTATTCTGTTCAGTCTTCTGTTTAGTCCTCAAATCTACTGTTCCCATCAAAATTCAATGTGCATTTTCTGGAACAAAGCCTTTTTAACTAACCGATTATTAAACTAGTCATCTTTGAGTCAAAGACATTACAATTATGTGAGGAATGAGTTTGCAGAAATGAAATCTAAATTTATTACTGCAGTCCATCTTGAATGAGTTTCTTGGTGTACTGAACACCCAGCATCTGGCATAATCAACATGGAGCTGATAGAGTCATTCATAATGAATCTCATTCTAAAAATCAACTTTTAACGACTGAGAACATCGCAATGTCAAGTTGCCTCTCATCACTTGTGCAGCTCATTTGGGGAAAACATGATATTAGAGTGATTGAGAGTTTGGGAAATCTGTTGTCTCGTAGCATAATGAAGTTAATGAACGTCATCAAGTTAATGAACGTAATGTGGAGCTTTTCATAACACTAGCTTTATTTGTGCCGCACTCGCTAATGAGAAAACACAGTTAGAGCGATTCAGCGTTTGCTCCCTGTGGTGTGAAAAAGTTCAGGCCCTTTTTAATAAACTGATTGTAGATCTGTCGTTCTTTAGCACCGGATCCCTGTCGGGTTGATGACAGGCAGTATTCCTCATCTGTGACTTTCTCTGCTTGCCTTTTTCCACCTGGAAGATTTCAAGCCCTTTTTCATTCTAATTGCCTTGAAATCTTAATTTCATCTTCGAACTGAAGATAATAATTATCTTTAGTACCTCCTAGCTATATATAAATTTACATATTGTCTCAGTTGCTTCGGTGTGTGTGTGTATATATGCATAATATCTAATTGGCAAATACAAAGATAAAATAAAATATATGAAATGTATAAATGTTTTAAAACAACTGGGTTTTATTGCAGATCCTTAAGTCATCCAGTGCTCAGTCTCCAATCAAAGAACGAACCCGAGGCAAGTCTTTATCACCGCGCCGCCGACCAGCCAGCAGTCCCCAAAGACGCCAACATGTCCACAGAAGAGACAAATCGTAAGTAATGGACACTTTGCTGTTGAGGAAACGCAGATCTGAGAAATAAGCTGTGGAAAATATCCACTTGTGCGCAATTCACTTTTTAAAAAAGTTTCTGTCAAGAAAATACGTATAAATGCAGTCTTAAGCTGTCAGTGGTTTATCGGCAGTGACTCATCATGATTGCATCAGTCCATGGAAGGTTAAAAAGTAATTACTTGGGTTGCATTTATTTAATTTTGACACATTTTTAGTGATCTTCATATTTCTGGTGATTATGCTCTTGGAATGTAATTAGACAGCTTTTATTAATAATCCTCTGAAAATGAGCCATTCAAGTAGCATTTACAATGACAGCGATTAAGTCTGAGGTCACCAAGATGCTGTACTCCTAAATTTATTTAAAAAAAATTATATATGTATGTTGTTGTGCAGCTTAATTTTTAGAGAATTTCTTGGTAATATTATAAATGTCTTTTATCATCACTTTTGATCAATGTATAGAATAATTCCTGAATAAAATAATATCTTAAGTAAAACTTTTTAATGGTAGTGTATACATGTATTTATTTATATATTAATAAGTTCTATATTAATATACAGTACACTACCATTCAAAAGTCTGGGATCAGTCAGATTTTTTATGTTTTTAAAGAAGTCTCTTATGCTCATCAAAACGGCATTTATTTGGTCAAAATTACAGTAGAACAGTAATATTGTGAAATTCTATTATGTTTCTGTTGCCTTCTTGAAAGAAATTAATACATTTATTCAGCAAGGATATGTTAAATTGATTAAAAAAGTGATAGTAAAGACTTGTATTGTTACAAAAGATTTTTATTTTAAATTCTGTTCTATTGTAATATTCATTCGGTTCAATCAAAGCCTTTTGAAGATTAATATGTAAAAGCATTAGGCTGTTTTTGATTCCTGTTTTTCCATTGCCAAATTTAAGACCTTTTAAAATCTGAATTAAGACGTTTGGAACGACACGAGGGAGAGTAATTAATGGCAAAAAAAGTCATTTTTGGGTGAACTATCCCTATAATATTAGATACTTAAGCTTTTTATAGCTAAAAATTCATAAAACTGAGGGACATTTTTTTAATTCACACCTTGCTTCTAAATATTTTTAGTTGCAAATGCAAGTGAAATGCTAACACTGTCAAGCCCTGATATCGAGCGGTCACTGAGGTTACTAAACACTGAAGAAGACACGCATTGTCTGCTCATGTTTCGCGTCCATGCAGTGGCTTTAACCCAGTGCATTCTCATTAGAGCTGTGATGGTGACAGTGTGAAGCAGGTGCTGGTAATCGGTTGATTAATCTCCTCTAGCAGCACCCGGTTGGCCACTTCTCGTGTTACAGAAGCACTTGTTTCTCTTGTCCAGTGGGTTGACTTATGGATTCAAGGTTTCTATAGCAGCACAGCGCAAATACTAGCGGAGAAGCTCTTTTATTGTGCAGAGTGGAGCAGAAAGCCCCTTTTAGCACTGCTGATCAATTTACAAGTGAGAATTCAGGCTGCTTTTGTTTGTGGTGTTGAGGAAATAAGATTCCTTTCTTTTTAGTGCTACCCCTGGGAAATATAGGCAGTGAACAGTATCTACTAGGAACAGAGTCATAAAAAGTGACATAGTGATAGATAGCAAAGCTTCCTCTTCGAAAGAAGTGGTCGTTTTAGCAAGACATACACACAAAGGGATTCCTAAGCTCTGGAAAAAAGACCTAAAAGCAGGGAGTTAGGGCTAGTTAGTTAAGCAAAGTGGCGTTTTAAACACTTGCAACTGATGTGACACTCCTCTCCTGTCAGTACAAGCTGCCCTCGGGTAGTACACTGGGTTGGCATTTGCTCTAATAGGATGTGAGTCCAATGCAACAGCTGTGGTGGATGCGGGCTTCACTGACATGTCACGCTAAAACGAACCAATGAATAATCCTTCCGCATGGACATACAGTGATAATCAGAAGGTCCTTTTATGTTTTAGCATTTCAGAGCTCAACATCTGATAATGTAACTACATCCTCTGATGAACCGGATCATGTTAAAGCTGGTGTGCTCTAGATTGCATGTGTGTCTATCAATTTTAGCTGGCGAAATGCATATGATTGTGAATTTCACGTAGGAGCAAAAACTTTCCCCATACAGATTTTGCCATGGGTTCAAGTTAGTTGCGAATTGACAGAAAGCTACTTGGTTTGAAAGTGACTTCTGTGTGAGGGGTGCTTTATACTTCACTACACTATTGACAATTGACTGGACTTTTTGACTTGTTTATCTGCTTACCCCCAGGGCATCCAAGATGTAGGTGACGTTGTTTCTTCAGTAGAACGCAATGTCCGAACTGTTCAAACTGTCCTGAGTGCGTTCTCAACAGCAGGTGCGTGAGGCATCTTCTCCTTCTTCTTCTTCTTGCTTTACGGCGGATCACAGACTTATAAGTGCATTACCGCCACCTATTTCTCAAGTGGACCATTGACACTCCTAATTGAGATTGTAGATAGAGTGTCAATGGTCCATTTGAGAGATAGGTGGCGGTAATGCACCTATAAGTCTGCGATCCGCCGTAAAGCAAGAAGAAGACGCCTCATGCGCCTGCTGTTGAGAACGCGCTCAGGAGGACGCACTCTCTAATATGTAACATTGGAAAAATTTATTTATTTTAGTGAATCTGTTCATTCTAAACAGTCCTCTCTGTCATATAAGGCATTGATTCAGACTTACTTATGAGCAGTGTTGTTAAAGTTAAAGGGTTAGTTAACCCAAAAATGAAAATCAGCCCATGTTTTACTCACCCTCAAGGCATCCTAGGTGTATATGACTCTTCTTTCAGATGAATCCAATTGGAGTTATATTAAAAATGATGCTTGCTCTTCCAAGCTTTAGAATAGGTGGTAGGCGGGTGTTTTTGTTCAACAGTCCAAAAGATGTCAAATAAAGCGCATCCATCCATAATAAAACATGCCTCACATGGCTCCGGGGGGTGAATAAAGGCCTCCTGTAGCGAATCGACATGTTTTTGTAGGAAAAATATCCATATTTAAAATATTATAAACACTTTTCTCTCACTTCCGCTGACTGTAATACATGCAAGCCGTTCCGGGCGGATGACATCGGACGTAGGCGTCGTGCGTGCGCCTCTGAGATATGCTAGTCTTGCTAGTTTGTTTACAGGAGCAAAGGAAGCAAACTTTCCTTACTTTAGCAAAGGAAAACCAGTCTCCTCTTGGCTTATATCGAAATCCTCCGACATTTTTCTTTACAAATCGTTTTGTGCTTCTAATTTGTGACCAGCTTTTTGTTTTGCTGTCTCTTCTCCGTACTTTCGCGTTCGTCACTAATCACCAGCGCATGCGCTACGCCTACGTCCTATGGCATCAATGCTTGGAAGAGCAAGGATAATTTTTAATATAACTCCGATTGGATTCGTCTGAAAGAAGAAAGTCATATACACCTAGGATGCTTTGAGGGTGAGTATTGTGAGGGTGAGTAAATGCCTTGGCAACTAACTAAAATGTATTTTCAGTTTAAGTTGAAGTACTAAAATGACTAAAAATAAATAAAATTAAATAAAAATTAAATGTATATAAAGCTATATAGAAATATAAAAAAATACAGTTGACAAAAGAATTAAAAAAAATTCAATATTTAACAAATCTTTAATAATAGTAAAATAACACTGCTTATGAGAAAATTGTTTAGGATGAACTAATTCACCTAAATTAATCAGACTTTCCATTTTAGTGAACTGGTTCCAAGACATGTAGTGTCTTATGTCTTATGTAGTGTTCGAAAGTCCAGTTAATTCAAGTGAATCGATTCATTCAGATGGTTCATGTAAATGAACAGATTAAAGATTAAATAAAAAAAAAGGTTTCACTGATTCAGATCCCTGCGTTAGTTTTGCAGATTAGTGTGTTTTGTTGTGTTTGGTATAAACTTACCTTTTTGTGTTTTATAATGACACCCTTCCCCACATTTTACTTAAGTGCTCTTTAAGTAAGTCCTTGATGTCTTGAAATTTAAGTAGGATATTGAAAAATAACCGTCAAAGACGCTCATCTAAAGACGCTCATCTAGAGTATGTTTGTGTTAAGCAATTTAAAAATACCACAGCAACGTCCCCTATGTTTGTTTAAGCTTGAGCCATTGAGTTTAATTACATGTTTTATTGTAGTGCTGCTGTTGACAAGTCTAAAATGATTGTCTCAATGCTGTAATTATTTAGTCAAGCTAATGCACCTCTAAGATGATAGAATGAACCGCACAAGGCATGAAATTATACCAACGTTTAGACTTCAGATCTGTGGAGCTCCTGCTTCCCGATCGGAGCTATTTTTTTCTGTGTTCCATAGCACCTTCCTGTCACATGGTCTGAGATGTTAATTACTGAGCCCCACACATAGTGTGCCAGGCAGCTGCTGAAACACACCACCCATTTAACGTCAGCATCACCTTCAAATACACTGAAGAACTGCACAGCACACGCATCTCTCGGCAGATGAGTTTGTTAATTACTTACAGTGGAAGGAATTATGAAGTTATGAAATAAAGTCATGCTGAATCTGCTCTCCAACCCCCACAGTTCTGCAGTGGATGATTATGAGGTTTTGCCACCGTCATAAAATCCCCTGCAGACATGTAGCATGTGACAGTCCATGAAGCTCCCAAAAGGAAACATCTTATACAAATACTACACCTCTTATACAAATACATTTCTTAAAGGGAAAAAAATAATATTTTGTTATTATTTACTCACCCTCATGTTATTTCAAACTTGTATGGTGTGGATTGTGCTTTATACAAACTGAGGCTTCGTTGAAGAGTCTTCATGTAATTCTTTTAAATGTAACTTCCAGTTTTGGGGGTAATGTTACTTTGTTTTCCCATTTATTCACTGACACCTCTCCTGTCCCTGTCTTGAGAGAAATTGGGAGTGAGGCTCAGATTTATTAATGGTGTGAAGGGGCCTTCACAGTTGCCAAAAATATCACTTTTTGTGTTTTTTGTTTTAAAAATTAAGCAAGCAAGCCCAGCGGGTGACAAAAAGTAGCGCAAAAGTAATGTAATGTAATTACTTTCCATAAAAAGAAACTAAGTAACACAATTAGTTCTTTTTTATGTAGTAACGCAGTATTGTAATGCATTACTTTTTAGGGCTGGGTTTTGACACAAATTTCACGATTCGATTAGATTCTCATTCACAAGCTTGCAATACGATTCGATTACCGATTCGATTTGATTAAATATCGATTATTTTGGATACATATCAGGTACAGTACGTGCCAATTTTTCAAGGAAAAAAAATCTCTCAACTAATGTTGTAAAATATACACAAATTTCACGATTCGATTCGATTCTCATTCACAAGCTTGCAATATGATTCGATTACCGATTCGATTTGATTAAATATCGATTATGTTGGATACATATCAGGTACAGTACGTGCCAATTTTAAAATTTATAATGAATATGTTATATGGTGCATATATTTAGCAAAATGCCCCTCTCTACAGTTTATTTTTCTATCTGACTAATGAGTTTATGGTCACCGAATATGTTTTTTCTGCGGTAAATATGACCATACGTGACATTGTTTACAAACCGTTATATTGGCGTCTTTGCGCAGCTGAAACACTGATTGAGCGATTACATGAAACCGGATACGGATTGTAAAGTTGTACTCGTTCTTTTAACTTACCTTCGGATGTTTAGTCATGTTTATTTTGTGCTGAAGCTGGTATTAATGTGGAGATGATTAGTTCACATGCGCCTCGCACTGCCGCGTCTGTTGATCCGAGGCGCTACAGAGATCTGTCATTCCACATTAAACAGCGCCAAAATGGCATTTATTGTTTGAATACTGCAATACAATGGAAAGAATTTGAAATCGGAGACTTTGTTTCATATTAAAAGTACCAAAGCACAATGCTTATTGCGATATATTGGATGGGAAGTGCCCTTCAATGTTCCGTCCATTAACTGAAAACAGGCTACACTAATCGATTCTTGGGATACGTTCTGTAAAAATGAGAATCGATTAATATCGAGATATCGATATTTTTTTTACCCAGCCCTATTACTTTTCCCCAGCACTGGTAATTTTGTGTAACTCTTTTCAAGTAACTAGTGCCCACAGCTGTCTTAAAATACCAAAAGGACAAAAACAAGCAAACAAAAGAAACATAATTACCTTAAAAGGAGTCCAAATAACTAACTGAAATAGTGTACTGAAACCATGGTTAAACCACATGTTTGTGTGAGGAACACACCAAAATCACCCAAAATGTTGCATAAAACTGTTGTTGTATGGCAAGAGCTTTTTTGTGTACAAAGATCATATTTTTGTGTGCTTCTATTTTACGGAGGAAATAAGTTATAACAAAGCCATAATAATATGGATTTGCAGTGACATGAGGGTAAATATTGACTGAAATAATAAATGACAGAATTTACTTTTTACTGTTTCTTTAAAGTTGCAATGAAATGGAAGTACACTTATAAAATTCAGTGAAATAGCAATTTCTTGTAAAATGTACTACAGTAATCTATATTTTATTTAGGCTACAACTTTGAAAAATCTTTTTTTTTTTTACAGTGCAAGGCTTGCAGTCAATTGTAAGAAGCGGGCAAAACTAAATGATTGCAGCAGTCATTCATATGTCGCCAGAGAAAATGTCTGTCATTTTCACTGTAATATTTAGTTATGACATTTTAATTAAAACTACAAGGTCAAAAATGTTTTTTGTTTTTTGTATGAAACTTAACATAGATGAATTGAAAATGTATATTGAAATTGAAGATCTATAACTTGCATTTACATTTGCATTAAGTGAATTTTCACTCCACATTAAGACTACTGTGTTGTTCTGCGGTCCCATTCCCTGCTGTCTCTTACCACTATTTCTCAGTCTATCAATAAAGACATGAAACGCCCAGAAGATAAAATGAAAATATGCATCTGATTCGCTCCAGACTTTGCACATCAAAAATGTTGAGTGAACAGGGGGAATTCCACAGAGACGATGAAATTTAGCTCTGGTACAACAAATCTGCTCCTGCCCTTTTCCTGAGTCTCCTCCCTGTCAAAGTGCATTATCTCCACTCAGGGCTATTTCTAACACACAGGATGTTTGCTTGGCTACAGGCTCACCCCCACCCTCCTCTGTCTCCTCCTCTCAGTCGTCCTCAGATACCCACATAAAATGCTGACAAACGCTTTCAGTCCCCACTTTGTACATCTTGTACCCCCAGAGTTTAGAGTTTGCATGTGTCTTAGGGTTGAGTTATAAAAGTGTGTTGTTTGTTTTGACTAATCTTAAGGCTGCTATTGTGGTTTCATGCAGTGACAAATCTATTTACATTTGTTGTGTAACACTAATGTTTGCCTGAGAAACTTTCATTCTTAGTCATTTATGAAGGAAGGAGCTGTAAAAGGCAGAGCTGGAGTGGAGAGGACCTGCCTTGGCACTGCTGTGCGATTGATCGCCTGGCGTTGAAGCACCTGCTTCAAATAGCCATCATCAGTCAAAAGAACATGGAGGCCTATTGATTTTTTTTCACAAGAGTATAGTAGCACAAAAGTGAATGGTGGAAGGGAAAATGTGATAGACCTTTGAAGGCAACAACAGTTACGGCTGTGCCGGAGAGCTTTGTTCTTCAGCAGCTCTGTGTGTTCTCAGCAGGACTGAAAGTGGTGGTTGAACATGAATGTGCTTTATCTCAGGAAATAAACCTGTGGGATAAAAAAAGGTGTGAGATTCCAACTAGTGATAGACTAATACAGCAGTTAGTTCTGGTCCACGCACTGTGTTTATCTAACACCACTTGAAATTTATATATATTATATCAATCTACTTATTTGTGTCAATTAGAAATTACTAGCTGGTCATACTGTGCCTAATATGTAATTTGTTAAATATTTAAAGTAAATTGTAGTTTTTTTTTTTTTTTTGGTCAGGGTCTATATCTTCCAGTAAAAGCTTGAATTTGCTGAACAAAAAACATTGTAATGTAAAATTGTGCCATTAATATTTGTATTCTTTTGTATTTTTACACTACTTGTTTAAAAGTTTTAGGTCAATGAGACTTTTTTTTGGGGGGGGGAAATTAAAACGTTTATATATCAAGGATGCATAAATTAATCAAAAGTAACTTTCTATTTCAAATAAATTATGTTATTTTTAACTTTCTATTCATCAAAGAATTCCGAATAAATATGAAAAATATTAAGCAGCTCAACTGTTTTTCACATTAATAAGAAATATTTCAGTGTTTCAGAATGATTTCTGAAGGGTTCTAAAGTAATGCTTGCTGAAAATCCAGCTTTGACATTACAGAACTAAATTACTGAATTTTAAATGTATATTCAAATAGAAAATAGTTATTTTAAATTGTAATAATATTTCACAAGATTGCTGTTTTACTGTATTTTTGATCAAATAAATCCAGCTTTGGTGAACATAAGAGACTTCTTTCAAAAACAAAATCTTACAGACCACAAATTTTTGAACAATAATGTACTTCCACACACTGTTTATTTTATTGTTTCATTAATTGTTTAAGCCATATAATTTATTCAAAATAATGTGCATAATTTCATTTTTTTATATATTTATTTTAATATTTTGGCCTGTTTATACTCTTCTACTGAGGTGGTTCATTCTGCACTAAAACGTTTAATCCATAAACCGAAAGGTTCAGCATATTTGTCATTATGCAACAATAATCTCTAAAATGAAACTAACAGAAACATGTTTCTTTGCAGGCCTGCAGCACTGGACAGAAAGCCGGCAGAGCTCAGCACCCTCAGTGATGGCTACCAGATTCGCATCTGAGACAATAAACGTACCAGCTTTATCCTCCACATGTCCTCCCTCAATCAGATCCACAGCATATTAAACATATTTATAGTTGTACTTTCATGTTAAGAGGGAAATTGCGTGCCCTTTTTAAAGTCAAAAGCAAAAGTTAAACGCGATTCAGGAAAAAAAAAAACAGAATATGATATTCCTTTACTAGCCATCATTTTTTTTAAATAGTGGAAAGTTTAAGAGTGAAGGATATCAATTTTGCTTTAAAAGTTTTTTTGGTACCCTAGTAATTGTCAAGCATTTTAGAAGACAAAAAAATGGTGACTGAAATATTCAAGCAAATATGGAAAATGAGGTGGAAAGGCTCTATTTTTGGACCGAATCTCCACTAGCAGTGAGAGCTGGAGTGTGAATGGATTGTGCTTGGCAGAGAGATGTAAACCTCAGTGCCTCGTGCTGTGCTGCTGGTAGTTTTGAAGGCTTACTGGCCCGGAGGAGAGAGAGGACATAAGCTTTTTTCGCCAGAGGCGTAAGGACACAAGGGACCTAAGCTTCAGAGAGCTACTCATTCTGCCCAAAAGAACTGTATTCAATCCACTTTACTTCATTTTTTGTTACCTGCATACATGATATGGATGGAATGGACATGATTTATTGACTAAGGTTTGGCGTTACCTACTGTTTTTATTTTCTGCAGTTGTAGAGAAATAGTTACATTTTTTAAAGTATTTAAACATTTATTTTTCTTGTTTTTACTGTCTGTTTAACCAGTACAGTATTTTGTGGTTTTCACGTATTTTTTGTTCTTCTTTTAAACAAAATCTCTCAAGAGGTGTGAAAGTTGATGTGCTATTGATTGACCCATCCGTTGCAAATAATCCTAAATTTTCCACACATTTATTTGGAAAATAGAATGGATTTCTTTTTAAATTTTGTAGCGACAGAGATATAAGCTTGGCTAATAAACATAAATTAAGCATAAGTGGGTTTTTAGGGAGCCGCTAAAGCAAAGTTACCCAAACTTTACTATGAAGGGCCAAAAACCTAACTTTAATTGAGGGCCATGGGTCAAAAGTAAATGCTGCATTATATATGCACCTATGTTATATTAAAATTTACATTTTTTTAAATCAAATTCACTTACATTCTCTACAATGCTAAAATAGAAAAAAATACAAAAAAAAAAGATCAAATAGAAATGACAATATGCTATTATTTCTTGTTTTCCCCCAGTTTACCCCCTCTTGTGACATGACATGGCCAAGGTCATCACAGGCCAACTTTGACCCAAGGGTCCTGGTTTGGGCATCGCTGTCCTAAAGGGACATGGTGATGGAAAAAAAATTTCAATGCTTTTGTGTGTTCAAAACCTTTAGATTCCCCTGAGAAACTTTGCTGCGAGCAAATGCAAAAGCATTAAAATATAATTTTAATATGAAGTGGGAGGAAAAGAGTTTCTGGAGAGAATGCAAAAATTTTGCGAGGGAACCCAAAAGCATTGAAACGAGCCATTTTCCTCTCGTCTCATATTTTTTCCATCATCAGGCCCCCTTATAGGACCCCATAGCTTCTAACTACAGGATCACAACTTAAATAATTCAAGTATACACAAAATATCATCTCTTTATCAACAGCATATCGCTTGAATTTTCTCACCTCGTGAGAATAAGCTATGCACATGGAGAAGGTCTGTGGATCCGTCCTTTTTGACAGCAGACCTGCCTTTAAAATTGTAGCAGTGACATTGTTAGCAATTCTTCACGGGTTGTATGAGCGGTTCCTCTCTGAACGATGTTTTTTGGGTGCTGATGACTAAACTACCACATTATAGCTCATTCTGCCTTGTAATTGGTACCAGCTTTCTATCAAAAGCTACTGAACCACACAAGTGCCAGACCATTGAGTACGTCTGGTCCAATTCATCCTTAGGGCTGAGGGTTTCAGTCACATGAAGATGAATGGTCATGAGTTTCAGTGACAAATCTAATGCACCATGTTGAATTGCTCAGACTCTTTATGGGAGAGAAGTGGTCTGCTGCTAATTTGGCATGCGAAGAGCACCACATTGTTACAGATTTCTATCATTTATAACTTGTTTGGTAACTACACAGATGTGTGAAATTGTGAGTGAACTTTTTATGGCAGATAATGTCAAGTATTAGTTGTTTAAAAATGGTTTTCTGGTTTTAAGGAAATGCAATGATTTCCACTCAAAGGTGCTAAGATGAGACATTTTACCCATTATTATAAAATTCAATTATTTTATCATTGACTCTTTTTTTATGATTAAAGAGCACATTAAACTGACGTTTCTGTAGCACAATATTAGGAACTGCAATGATTTCCACTCAAAGGTGCTAAGATGAGACATTTTACCCATTATTATAAAATTCAATTATTTTAGCATTGACTCTTTTTTTATGATTAAAGAGCACATTAAACTGACGTTTCTGTAGCACAATGATTAGGAACTGAATTACAAGATACACATTTAATGGTATGTATTAGCCTACCAAAAAATTAATGGATATTCATGACATTATAGCTGCTTTTGTGGCATTGTTGTTTCCATGTCTAATACAGGCTTGTCTGAAAATACAATAAATTTTGATGAATGATAAGTAATCAACATTTTAAGGGAAATGTTTTTCTCAGTAAGAATGTTAATGATGTGACTTTGTTATGATGAAGACCTCAACTCAAACTTGTCCTCAGTTTTCTGTTCATATTTTTCGTATTATAAATGTTTCACCTAAATAAGGACTTTATAAAATTCAATTAACCCTCAACTATTTTACACACATTTTTCTTAAGCCGTACCGCAGCTTGCACCTTCAATCCTCTTTTCTGTCATAAATTTGTGTCTGGGTCGCATCAGTCGCCCCATGAGGAAACGTTAATGTAATTTGTTTATCCCTCTGTAGCATGTTTTAATAAAACTATATTTTTATGTAAGTCTGTGATTGGCCGTTTACTGTGCTCATTTACACGGTTCTCCGGAATAGGCTACTTGATTCTGATTGGTCAGATTGGTGGCAGTCCGCGGTTTGTTATAACGCAACCGGCGCTATTTTGCGTCTCGGTTATCGATTGTAGTGAAAATTATATTAGACGTATTAATACTTTTCCTAGCGGAATCCTAAAGCAGAAGATATACACAGGTAAGGTCATGTCCACGTATTTATTTTCAGTTTAAAGGTGCAATAGGTGATTATCTTCAGAAATTTTTTTTGTTATGCTGGTTGAAAGTCTCTTCACATCCCGACAGCAATCATCAAGTTAAGTGGTCTACATGTATTTATATATTCTGTGGAAGGCATAGGACCAAGAAATGTTCGTCCAATCAAAACGCTCGGTCCGAGCATTTTAATTGGCTTTCCTACCTTATGTCAACATAAGTATTTGCATACCTCTGCGCACCCGGTTCGCGCAGACAGGATACGTCATCAGCGCGTTCACACACACTGCAGACAGAGCTAGAATGGCAGACAAACATCAACAGCCTGATCTTCCTTCCTGGTATTGTAGTACTTTTACTAACTGTACTATAAAGTTTTCTCACCGGTGAATGACATGATGTAGCCCAATTCCAGTCCTCGCGCCCCCGCGTTCTGCATATTTTGCATGTCTCGCTTAGTTAACACACCCGATTCAGATAACCAGCTCCTTAGAAGTGAGCTACGTGCATGAACTGTGTTCCGATCGATATGATGCCTACACAGTGTTCGTTGCTCCCTACTCCCTGAGCAGGAGAAATCTGTTGAAGTTTACTTAACTTCTCATTCACGGATTTGCGCTGCACAGCATCTGGATTCTAGGGTGCGAGGACTGGAATTGGGAACCGCTGATGTAGCCTATTGTAATGTTGTCTCTGGTATTCGGGTCTGTGAGCGTATATGCGTTCAGGGGGCGTGCCTTTGGACAGCAATTGCAGGGAGGGTGGGAATTTCGCTTTCAGTGCTATCAGGTTAAAGTTAGCATTTTCCAAGATCTCCTACTGCACCTTTAATAAACTGGTTTATGTTGCGATACTGATCGGCTGACTGTACATTATTCCCTAACTTAACAGTGAAGCATGGATTTGTAAGGTTTTAATACTCCACAAACGCACTCCTCTGAATATTCAGCGGTGTTGGCCGCTCTCTGCAGGCCAAGGAGCTGCTCTTGCAAAAGAGAAGCTTTGAGATTAAACCAGGTGATGTAACATCAGCGTTGCCCTAAATCTCACAGCCAGTTACAGAACCCACTCTGAGTGAAGTCTTTCTGCACAGAGGCATTATGCCCGCATTAATCTGCTTACAAAGACAGCGTCACACACAGGAATACAGCCGTGGCGGATTTACCAAAAATCCTTCATTTTTCATCTCTTCTCTCAAGATAAAAGGACTCCTAGAACACCCACCATTGTTTCACACCTAGAGAAAATATCCCGGGACGGTCAAAGAGCACTCTAGAATTTCAGCGGTTTATCATCTGGATTTTAATAATCCAGAAATGGAGATGAATTCTTTGTAAATCCTTACAAAACAACCTCAGAAAGTAACTGCCGCTGTCAGCAAGTTTCCTCTTCACTTTCAGGATATATTTTCGAGCTGTGGTGTACATGTAATTTGCACAGTCATACAACAGCTGTGGGAACAGGCTAGAAACATAACTGAAATAAAAGAAAGTATTTTTAAAAAATCTTAAACTTAGACTTAAACTTTTATTTCAACTAGCCAATATTTCTAATTTTCATTCAGTTGAACTTGATTGTGTACTAAAATAACTAAAGCGGAAATAAAAATGATTAAAAACCTAAACAAAAAACAAACAAAATAAAATAAAAATGTCATAAAAACAAAATTACTAAAACTTAATAAAAAAAAAAACAGAAATAAAAAATAATTTTAAATGTTAAAAAAATAACTATAATAGGGTAACACCATTTTAATACCATTAGTAAAATGCACATATTTTACATTTTTCAAACATAATAAATATTTTAATAATATATTATTAGCATAACTGTGAAAAAAAAATACACGGATTCCAGAATTTCTCTGTTCTTGGCATGTTGCCTTTTTGCTTTTTTGTGCCAAAATAAAGAGCAAAACCATAACATACTACACAAATATCAGCTTGAAGATAAAATCATTTTTTTTTTTCACCTTATAATCTTTAAAATGATGCAAGTCTCAAATAGTTACCTCGTAAAACCTTGAAAAAAAAAAAATTACCATTTTTAAATGACTCACTTGGTGTCAAAGCTGCCATATTTCGTAATAAAACATCCCTAATTTACTGATTACAGTGTGCATGTCACCCTCCCATAATGCACTGGGTAAATCAGTTATCAATAACCTCCAAGTTCCACTTCTGCTTCAAGTTTGTTATTGACTGTCTCAAGATAATCTGTGAAAGGTGTGAAACAAACATGAGAACTTTTTTTTTTTTGAGTTTGTTAGAAAAATGATCCTTCTCTGGCTACAAACATAATAAAGGCTTTATGATACTCCCAAACACTTTTGTTCTGTCAGCCATCAACTCGAGGGTGCAGACGGAAACGTGTCAAAAGTGGCAGGTGGTCAGAGGAGTTGTGCTGGTTGGGAAGACCGCTAACCTTCTGGAGTTCATCTTCCTCCACCAGGGATAACCTGCCCAGCAGCTGCAGACCCTTCTCTGGTGGCAC